GAAGATCTCGTACGGCAGCTTGGATTGGATGAAGATGCAGATATAATACAGTGCAATGAAGATATCAATTATGATCCAGTTGAGGTCAATAGACAAGGTGTCACCCATGACAGTGAAAGTGCCGAGAGCGAAGAGATCTCTTTGAATTTCTCAGATTCACCAAGTCCAACTCACGGGGTTAATGATCACGGGAACGAATCAGAAAGCAGCGTTGGTTCAAACTTATGCATTGATGAAAATGATCCTGAATCTAATAACTTAGAGTCTTGTGGGACTAACCCAGAATGCTCTCCTCTTCCTGTCTCAAATTCACGGGATGTTACTGCTCTAAAATGTGCACAAAATGATGATTCTGTTAGAAAATCAGCAACTGACATGAAGGAACGAAAACTTCTATCTGGTACACTTCAATGGTTATGGAAGTTTGGACGGAATAAGAGTGAGGAAACATCTAAGGTAGCAGCTGCTTCTGAAGATGAAAAGGCTTTGAACGGTCAAAGTGGTCAGAGCAACGTAGCTGACTCTACAGCTGATGGGTGTGATAGCTCTTCTGGAACCTGCAGCGAAGAAGCAGTAGATCGTAATTTGATGCTTAACTTTAGGAATCTTGGACAATCCATGCTTGAGAACATCCAGGTACCAATCTCACATAACACTCTTCCGCTAATTATGAATTAGTCGGCAATGTCTTTAAATGTCACTAAGACATTCTTTACTTGCCTAGCAGCGATCTCTATATCTGAAGTATCAGTGCATTAATATAAAATTATAAACTAATCCCATTCTTTGTTATTCAAAGCTTTACATATACATGATTGACTTTGAAGCCATACGGATGTTTGTTTACAAGCTTAATCATACACGTCCTTCACTATGAAATTTGTTCCCGAAAAGACTAAGTGGTGTCAATGTATTCTTGAAGTTGTATATATGAAACTATGAAGGATATAAATCTTCTGTTTAGGGAGCAACCCAATGTGTAGTTTTGAGCATATTACGATAACCTGAAAAGATAAAGTTAAGTTACATCATTGAAGATCAAATTGAGACATCAATTTAGATGTTGCACAACAAAGGTACTTGTTTACTGGTACGAGTTTCAATTCTTTAGATACTTTAACATGATTTAGATGATAAATTGTGGTTTTACTGCTCTTTAATCTCGTATTGTTCATATCAGATGTTCCTTGAGCGTCGTGGTCACCTTTCATTTGCCTTGCAGGTTATCGAGTCTGTTTTCCAGCAGGATTCTGGTCAAGTGGGGCTCTTGGATAACACATCGAAAAATAGTCTCATTGGCAAAGGACAAGTTACAGCCATGACAGCTCTCAAGGAGCTGAGAAATATCAGCAATCTTTTATCGGAGATGTGAAGTATATACATATATACATTGGTAAATTGTTTCTATCTGGAGTGGCAGAATAAACAGTCTTTCGGCTTCTTCTATTTTTTTTNCTGCTATTGCGGATAATTCTGGTTGAATGTTGGTTCCTCAATTATTTATTTATTTATTTTTTGATGTGCCGAACATATCTTACCTGTCGTTCGAGTTCTAGGGCATGTTCGGTAGTGATTTTGAGAATTGATTTTTTAACCGTTAGGAAAAAAGTGGGGACTATGTGTGAGAAAAGAAGTCAAAAATTACGGTTGCAATAGTGAAATAACATTATGATGGTAAGAAAATCAAACTTTTGGGGGGTGAAATATCACTCCCAAACGGACCATAGTATAATTTATGCGCCCGTTTGGGTTTAATTCCCTCCAGATTTTACTCAGGAATTTGAACGTTATGTAGTCATGTGGGCCCCATTGTGGCAATCATTGTTGATTACTTTCTTACCTATCAATTAAAATAGACTGATGGAATGACATTGCGTCCCTTAATTTGCATTCAATCTTTTTCAACTAGAGCATTTTTTGAATTTTAAAATGGAAAAAGATGGCTGTTTCTTTTTTCTTCTTTTCTTCTTCTTTTTTTTTTTTTTACCAATTATTTTGGCTAGAGCTGGTTGCATAGTATTGTTTATAACGTTCGGAGTTTTGATTAAAATTTGGAGAGAATGGCACCAATATCAGCGCTATATATATGGATACGGCTCGATTTTATAGTCAAATTTACCATCAACCAGGTGAAAAATGGATCAAGAGATAACATATTCAAGTTACCAAAAGACAAACTTTTGTCCAGCTTCTCACAAAGAATCAAAGAATATGAATGAATAAAAGTGAAAAAAAAAAACAAAAAAAAAAAAAAATTGACGTCTAAAGTAATGTATGGTTTCCCAGTGGACGTATTGAACTTGGTGAATAGATGAATGGATCTCCAAAAGGGTTTGGGGATACCATTTGTGGCATTTGTTGCTGCTGATGCATAATCATTTGTTCTTGTTGGGACATCATTGCCATCTGCACACTTATTGGCGGTGCAATGTTATTCGACATGGCAAAAGGGTCGTGTTGCTCAAATGGATTTGGTGCTGTCATTTCGTATCCGTATCCTGCACTATAACCTGCATTCTGTAGCTGTATCTGTCTACGCGAAGCATCATCTTCGTACAAGCTGTCGAGTAATAGCTTATCGAACCCGCCAGCCTAAAACAAATGTCATCTTGGTGAAAATGTAGAGTTATACAAATGTAGCGTAATGGACGAATAAAGACATAAAAAACTGACCAATTTGGTTTCGGCTGTTTGGCTTGTGTGGTTGCTTGGAGCGGTAACTAGTGCTAACTCCCATCCTGAAGTTTTTCCGATTTCACTCAATGCATTACTAGGTAAAGTCGAGTTATTACCTACAAAAATATTTCATGCAATGTCAACAAGTTGTATGATCAAGCATTGATGGTATATTTGTTGATATCTTAAAATGAACTTCCATATAAGCATGTTTGAGATAGTTTCTGCTTCTAGTTTTAGTGTAAAAATTTCTTGAAGAAGTCACTTTGAATCAACTTTTTCTGAAAGCTCTTTTAACTAGACTGTAGAAAATTATCTAAATAAGTTCAAAAGTAACTTCTTAGCCATGAGAACGACTTTTGGCTTTTCAAAGCCCTTCCAAACGGACACTTAAGTATTGGGGTTGGGTGCACACATCCGTATACAGAAACAGTCAATTCTGTCACGAATAATGCAACACACCTGGTTGAATAATGGAAAGAGCTAGTGCATTGTTTTCCTCTAATTCTACAGCTTTTGGATTTACTTCATTCAAGCCCTGCAGAACAAAAGTAATTTAGAATATACTATAACAAATCTTCGAAATAGAAAAAGCAAACACAAGAAAGAGAGAATTTACCAGCAAATCAACAGGCTCGTCCGTGGATATTAATTGAGGAATTTCATCTTCATTCTTAGTCTGAGGTTCCTCTTGTTCATCAACCTGTTCTTCTTTATTCTCAACTTCTTCAACTTGTTTTTCTTCTTCTTTAGTGGTGAGTTCTTCACGTTTTTGAGGTTCCTCTTCTGTTTCTCGATACTCCTATAACAGCAAAATCTACTGTCATTGCTCATAATATCCATCATATCAGTGCGAAAATGTAAATAGTCAAGAAATGCAAGTTATATGGCAGCCGATGCCCGAAACAAAACTTATTCTTGAATAGTTGCTTTCGATTTGATGATGTAACCTCACGATACATATGGTTTGAATGACAAACTCGTTGAGGCAAACAAACCGAAGATTTTTATCAGATCATAACCTAAGGCACCATATATATACTAGAACTATACACCAGACAGAGACAGTTCACCGACGGTCGAAAATGATAAAGCCAGAAATATAAAAACTAAAAACATCATACTTCTCCCAAAAAGACTAAAAACATCATGTAGTAAAGGGATTTTTCTAACCAGTCTCTTCTTCGACATAGAACCTGTCTGCGGTGCTTCCTTGATGTATTCCTCCATAGTTGAAAGGAACGAGGGAGGAGGCTGTTTATTGCACAAAAATATACTCGTAAAGGTTTCTATTGACTCAAAATAGATCTTTTCTTCTGAATGTGGGAAAATAACCTGTCTCAAGACGGGAAACTGAAACGTCCGAGCAAGATCCAATGTTCTGCAGAAGCTATAAAATTCAGCTAGATGTTCAGCCTACATAAACAAGAGATAAATAAGAGAAAAACGTAAAGAACTCAGCCCTATATATCAGTTCGTCTACAGTAGTAAAAGATCCTAAAATGAAGAGGACATATAGACCTGTTGTCCAGCTCTTTTATAAATGTCAAGAGCTTTGACAGCATCATATTTGGCCATGTCGAAAAACTGCAGAAAAAATGAACTTATTTGTAGATATTAAGATAGTTTTTCTATGCAAATATGATAGTCGAAACTTCATACATCATCATACCATATCGACAAGATTAATGATCCCGTCATTGATAGCACAATATATTTTGAAGCTCTCTTTCAACGTCTGCATGATCAACATAGCACGGTAATTTCAACAGATCATATATTTTCACAATTAAGCTACTTGTACAGCAATTATTTACACCTTTGTTGACAAATGATGGCGGCATGCATTTTGGCCCTTAATTTGCATAAATGAAATTCAAATCAATGGCCAAATATTATCTGTAAACAAAAGGTGTAATAAAAACTGCACAAGTAGCAAAGTCTACGTTTTCAATAGCCAAAACTACGAATTTTGTGCATACCAGGGCCAGGGCATACTGGATTAGATAGTTGTGGCAGGCTGCTCCTTCAGGCTGCAAAAATTCTGACAGATTAGATAGCCTTATTCAGTTAAAAAATAAAAAATAAATAAGAATTACTGATCGTACAAATCGAAAATCGGAAGCCAATTCAAGTTCAACTTCGGCACCTACTTACCTGTTGAACTGCTCAAAGCCTAATCATAATGTACACTTATCCCTCAATCCCAGATCGACC